CTCTTATATTTCTATCTAGGTCATTTGTTTAAAATGCAAACTTCAAGGAGGTAATTCTTATCAGAAGAAAAACAAAAAGGAGGGAAGGTTATTTGGAACTTGGGCAAAAGAAAAATTTTTAATTTCTACTCCACAAATATTAGTAGAAAGCTGTAGCTCTGAGCAAGTGAACTTAACTTATTCCAACTGCCAAAACATAATTTGGATCCAACTGTTCTTTTATAAACTAAGTTTTGTAAGTTTTGTATTATCAAACCTGCCTTATGTCTAAACTTTAAAACAAAGGCTATATGGTCACTATTTGCATTTGTGTCTATATGTTAATATGTTTATAGATGTGTGATATTTTTCTGCCTCTGAATGGTATTGCAAAAATTGATCTGCTAAAGAGCTCTATTTAGTTGGGTTGAAGGTCAAGCACTTTTAAGGACTGAGTACTCCAAAACTCTCAGAAATACAGAAACAAACCAAAATATTTTTCAAGTTCACATGATCTGTAATAATCTTGGTTAAATAAAAACTAGTTTGTCTGTTGCATTAGTTAAATTAAGTATATATTCAGAATTATCAGCATTAAAAACAATGCAGGTTAATGTTCAATATCACTCATTATTAGAGAAATGCAAATTAAAACTACAATGAGATATCACCTCACACTGGTCAGAAAGACCATCATCAAAAAATCTACAAACAATAAATGCTGGAGAGAGTATGGAGAAAAGGGAACTCTCTTGTACTGTTGTGGGAATGTAAATTGATACAGCCACTATGGAAAACAGTAGAGATTCCTTAAAAAACTAGGAATAAAACCACCATATGATCCAACAATCCCACTACTAGGCATATATCCTAAGGAAACCAAAATTGGAAAAGACACATGTACCCCAGTGTTCATTGCAGTTCTATTTACAACAGCTAGGACATGGAAGCAACCTAGATGTCTATCGACAGATGGATGGATAAAGAAGCTGTGGTACATATATACAATGGAATATTACTCAGCCAGAAAAAGGAATGCATTTGAGTCAGAACTAATGAGGTAGATGAATCTAGAGTCTATTATACAGAGTGAAGTAAGTCAGAAAGAGAAAAACAAATATCATATACTAATACATAGATATGGAATCTAGAAAGATGGTACTGATAAACCTATTTTGCAGAACAGCAATGGAGACACAGACATTGAAAACAGACTATGGACACAGCTGGTGCCAGGAGGAAGGAGAGGGTGGGAGATATGGAGAGAGTAACATAGCAACATACATTACCATATGTAAATAGATAGCAAATGGGAATTGGTTGTATGACTCAGGGAACTCAAACCAGAGCTCAGTAACAACCTACAGTGGGGGGATGGGGAGGGAGGTGGGAGGTGTGTTCAAGTGGGAGGGGACAAGCGTTAACCCCTGGTTGATACATATTGAAACCACACACAATACTATAAAGCAATTATCCTTCCATTAAAAATGAATAAATTAATTTTTTAAATGCAGGTTAAAAAAGAAAAAAATAATAATGCAGATTGACAGCTTTATTCTACTTAGGTTTATTGGTCAAATAAGTTCATGTCATCTCTTAAAAAATTTGTCAGCAAGAAAAATAGCTTGGAATGATGGCTGACTTTTCTAAAGTCTCACTAAGTTTTCTGGGGTAGCCTCAACATATTTAAAGAGAGCAAGTGTATTAAATAGATGTAAGCAGGATAAAAGTTTTTAGATGAACTTTTTAAATAACTTAAATCTTCTTGGAAACTTAAAATTTCAGAATTTCACTGTTAAATGATGGAAATTTATTGAATATCAAGGTCATTTCCAAACAAGAGAAACTAATAAAAAATTAACTACTAAACAGTAGTTATGTTTTGGCTTCCTACTGCAGAGAAACTAAAACTACATTTGAGTTTATTAGTAAACATGTCTCGTGACACATTAAAAGTTGCAAATGAGGAAACATATGTTTCTAGAAATTACAAAACGTACTCATAAGTTTGCCAATCTAAATAATATTGGCATAACATATAGTTCATAATTGTCTACTGCTTTGTTTTCAGTTAAAAAAAAAAAAAAAAGCTTTTTAAGGGTTAAAATAGGGAAGGAAATGGCAACCCACTCCAGTATCTTGCCCAGATAATCTCATGAACAGAGGAACCTGGCAGTCTACAATCCATGGGGTCTCAAAAGAGTTGGACACAACTTAGTGACTAAACAAACAAGGGTTAAAAATTCTAGTATATGTAATTAAAACTACTAAAAATAATATGAAAAACACTTCCATATACAGGGAAAATAGGACGTGTGTTTTTGGTAGAAGAAGGTATGGGAAATAGAGATGCACTTTTTGTTAAAGAAAAAAAAGTTAAGGAAATCTTTTCTCTTAAGCTTTCTAAGATTTATCTCAATTTAATTAAGTGTATCTTTGCACATGGGCTTCCCAGGTGGAGCCAGTGGTAAAGAACCCGCCTGCCAATGAAGGAGCCATAAGAGATGCAGGTTCAGTCCCTGGGTTGGCAAGATCCCCTGGAGGAGGGCATAGAAACACACTCCAGTATTCTTGCCTGGAGAGTCCATGGGTAGAGAAACCTGGCAAGCTGCAGTCCACAGGTTTGCAAAGAGTCAGACATGACTGAAGTGACTTAGCATGCATGCATGCATGCACAGTTGCTATGTGGGCTCTGGGTCTATAAATGCCTTGATGGCTGGTGCATAATGAGCAATGCCTCTTAAGTCATCTAACTGTGCCCTAACTGTTCACAAACTGGAGCACCTCCCTGGTCAACTCCCCTGAATTTACACTGCCAAGTTAGAAAGGACCTCATGATTCAGAATTAGCTCCCCTTTGCAGGGCCATAATTCCTCAGTTAGGAATAAATAAAAGTAAGGCTATAATTAGGAATATCTCCTTAACTCCTGAAACCACTGCAGCATCCTATGCTAAAGTAATAACTGCCCCCAAAATTCCTTAGACTCTCTGGCCAAAGTTGTTCTTGATAACTGGATAGTCCTTGATTATCTTTTAGCTGAGCAAAGAGGTATCTGTGCTATGGTCAACACCACCTGTTGCACCTGGATTAACACTTCTATGGAAACTGAAACTCAATTACTTAGGATCACTGAGCAAGCCACGTGGCTTAGAAAGGTAACTCCTTCAATTAGATCTTTCTTTAACTTACTTAATTTTGATTGATTTATGTCTTGGGGACCATGGCTCCAAAGGGCATCCAGACATAGGGAATTACCCTGCTTATAATAGTGGTATCAGTCCCCCTGGTATGCTGTATTCTTTCAAAAGCTTTAAAGGCATGTTTGCAGCCTGGCACTAGTGGTAAAGAATCCGCCTGTCAGTACAGGAGATGCATAAGACACTGGTTCAATCCCCAGGTCAGGAAGATCCCTTGGAGTAGGAAATAGCAACCTGGCCAGTATTCTTGCCTGGAAGATCAACGGGCAGAGGAGCCTGGCAGACTCTGCGGTAAATGGGGCCACAAAGAGACACAACTTAGCACCACCACCACCACTCTAGGAGCTGCTAACCACCAAGCAAATGGTCTTCATAAAACTAGAACATCAGAAAAGGAACACAGAAAATGACTGACTTTAAAAATGTAAACCTGAAATCATGACCTGTGAATACCACAGAAATGCAGCAAAAAACAGTCATGACCTGTGAATATCACACAAAGGATCAATAAAAGCTATGAGAACCACAGAGCAGTGACTACGAGTGATGCTTTGAATTTTGATCACATCTTTCAGGCTGAGAGTCTGAACAAAAAGGTGAAATCATTAAAAAGCAATAACACGCCCAAAATGGAATCACTTATGCTAAGCCCCATGTCAACTAAGATAATTTCTAACTTAAGATAATAACCTAATATAATAACCTAAGATAATACATAACCTAAGATAATATCTAACCTATCAAACTAAGATAATATCTAACCCAATGGCAGCTTCAGCCTCTCCCAGGAATGTGACCTTCAACCAATCAATCTGGGATTACCTGGTTGGCACTAGTGAGGTAATCTGCTAGACAGACCCCACCTTTCCCCAAAGAAAGGTGACCTTGCCTGAAATAACCTGCTCTTTAGAAACATCCTTTTTTCATCCCCTTCTGCCTATAAAAGTCTTTTATTTTGTACAGCTCCTCCGAGCTCCTTTCCAATTGTTAGATGGAGTACTGCCCGATTCATGAATCACTGAATAAAGCCAAATAGAGCTTCAAATTTACTCAGATGGATTTTGGTGTTTTTTTAAAAACAATGTCAATTTATACCCTAGCACTATATTATTTATTTTCTTTGGATTTGAATTATCATCCTAAATCATAAACACTGCCCAGTTAAAGGTAGAGTTGGAATTGTTAAAGTGTCAGTTTCTAGATATATATATATATTTTTTTTTTCGGCTGCACCACACGGTTTGTGAGATCTCAGTCCCCCAAACAGGTACTGAACCCAGATCACAGCAGTAAAAGCACAGTATCCTAACCACCAGATCACCAAGGAACTCCCCTAGATCTTCTTTTAATAGCTGAAGGCCTGGTTATTATTATGAAATATTATGACTATAACAGTATTTCACAAATACTAAAAAATACAGAAAGCAGGCAGTCACATGTGAAAAAGAAAATATGATCTCAGCAAGGTAAAGCACATATATGGAAATATAAAGATACACACAGAAAAGGAATACATTTTCTGTTGTCATTATTGTTTAGTCGCCCAGTCATGTCTGACTCTGCAACCCCCTGGATAGCAGCACATCAGGCCTCCCTGTCCCTCTCCATCTCCTGAAGTTTGCCCAAGTTCATGTCCATTGCATTGGTGATGCCATCCAGCCATCTCATCCTCTGACACTCTCTTCTCCTGCCCTCAATCTTTCCCAGCATCAGGGACTTTTCCAATGAGTCATCTGTTTGCATCAGATGACCAAAATACTGGAGCTTCAGCATCAGTCCTTCCAACGAGTATTCAGGGTTGATTTCCCTTAAGATTGACTGGTTTCAGGAACAGCACCGGGCGGGGCGCGCGACGGTCCCCGCCATGTCTGCAGCCATGAGGCAGAGGTTCGACCAGTTCCTTCACCAGAAGAACTGCATGACTGATCTCCTGGCCAAGATCGAGGCCAAGACCGGCGTGAACCGGAGCTTCATCGCGCTCGGTGTTATCGGGCTGCTGGCTTTGTACCTGGTGTTCGGCTATGGAGCCTCTCTCCTCTGCAACCTGATAGGATTTGGTTACCCAGCCTACGTCTCAATTAAAGCCATAGAAAGCCCCAACAAAGAAGATGATACCCAGTGGCTGACCTACTGGGTGGTATATGGTGTCTTCAGCCTTGTCGAATTCTTCTCCGACCTCTTCCTGTCCTGGTTCCCCTTCTACTACATGCTGAAGTGCGGCTTCCTGCTGTGGTGCATGGCTCCCAACCCTGCCAACGGGGCAGACCTGCTCTACAAGCGCGTCATCCGGCCCTTCTTCCTGAAGCACGAGTCCCAAGTGGACAGTGTGCCAAGAAAGCTGCCGTGAATTTACTGGGTGAGGAAAAGAAGAGCACCTAAGCCACTGACTGGATGAAACCCTTCTGGCCTCTCGGTACCCTCCTATTAGAGCTTGACATTATATTAGGAACTGTGGTATATAGTCATTTTAATAATGTTGCCTTGGAAACATTTTTGATATATTAAAAAGAGGAATGTGTTGTAAGGTTAAAAAAAAAAAAAAAAAAAGATTGACTGGTTTGATCTCCACACTGTCCAGTGGACTCTCAGGAGTCTTCTCCAGCACCACAGTTGGAAGGTATAAATTGTTTGGCGCTCTGCCTTCTTCATGGTCCAGCTCTCACAACTGTACATGACCACTGGGAAGACCACAGCCTTGACTATATGGACCTTTGTTGGCAGAGAAATGTCTCTGGTTTTCAACACACTGTCTAGGTTTGTCATAGGTTTCCTGTCAAGAGGCGATTGTCTTCTGATTTCATGCCTGCAGTCAACATCCGCAGCGATTTTAGAGCCCAAGAAGAGGAAATCTGTCACTACTTCCACCTTTTCCCCTTCTATTCGCCATTAAGTAATGGGGCCAGATGCCATGATCTTAGTTTTTCTAATATTTAGTTTCAAGCCAGCTCTTTCACTCTCCTCCTCCACCCTCATCAAGAGGCTCTTTAGTTCCTCTTTTCTTTCTGCCATGAGTGGTATCCCTATACCACTCTACATGCATACATACATACATAGAAAGTGTATACCACTTTCTATGGGGATACAATTATTTTAAGAAAAATTATCTCTGAAGCACGGGTTAATGAACATTTTACAGGTTTCCACTGTGCTTCTCCTAACTTCTTTGGGGGAGCATATATTCTTTTTAGTTACACAGTACTAAGTACCTCTATGTGTCAGGAACAATACTAGGTGCTTTGTACACATTATTTCTAGTCTCACAATAACCCTTTGAGTTGACTATAGGCATACCTCAGAGATGTCACAGGTTTGGCTCCAGGATGACTCCAATAAAGTGAATATCAAAATAAAGCAAGTCATATAATTTTCACATAAAAGTTATATTTATACTATACCATAATCTATTAAGTGTACAATAGCAGTATGTCTTAAAAAAACAATGTACTTTAAAAGGTACTTTATTGCTAAAACAAAAAATGCTAACCACCATCTGAGCCTTCAGCATGTTGTAATATTTTTGCAAGAGCAACATCAAAGATCATTGACCACATATTACCATATGGGGAACACATGTAAATCCATGGCTGATTCATGTCAATGTGTGACAGAACCCACTGCAATATTGTGGAGTAATTAGCCTCCAACTAATAAAAAAAAAAAAGAAAAAAAAATACCATAGCAAATATAACAAAAATGAAAAAAGTTAAAAATATTGCAAAACGTGACACAAAAACACAAAGTGAGCAAATGCTGCTGGGAAAATGCTACTCAACCCAGGGTTGCTGCCAACTTTCAATTTGTAAAAAAAAAAAGAAAAGAATACACAATATCTGCAAAGTGCAATAAAATGAAGCATGCCTGGATTGCTCTTTTGGTTTTGAAAATGAGAAAACTGAGACTCAAACTGCCCATCTTGTCAGTCTCTGAGAGGAGGGATCCAAACATGGCTGTCTTCTCTTTCACCTCTGTCCCTCCTTTCTTCTCTTCTCCTTTCCTCCCGTTTACAGTATATTTTGAAGGTCTGTGATCTGCCTGAATTTGATCTAGTAATTTAAAGTATTGGAAGTAACATGAAAGGGAAAACATAGAATGCTCTGAGGGCATCTTATCAGCAGGGTAAGAGGGGCCTAGGGTAAGAGAAATTCTTCCTGAGGAAGCTACTACTTAAAGGAGGAGTAGAAGAACTGATGGCTGGGCAAGAGGAAGGTAAGTAGATTTCAAGCAGAAGGAACAGCATTTTGGGAACTCAAAATTTAGCTTTTAAGAAAGTAAAATGCATCCGACATGATTTCATGACTCACGACCAAGTCCAAGGTGTATGTGTCTGTGGTGTCTGAGTATAAGCCTGTGTGTGTGTGTGTGTGTGTTTATACATAAAATACCCTCAGCACATCCTCAGTAGGCCAAGTCTTGCAGAAGCAGGAGAGGAAACAGAGATATCTCCCACTGTTTCTTTCTTCTTACCGCCCCACCCCACCCCAATTAAGCCAAGTACCCTCCCCTCCCACCCTCTTTCTTGAGTCCTCTTTTTTTAACACGAATTCCCAGATTCTCCCCATTCATTTCACAGCAGCAGAACTCACAGCTGGGTTCAATCTCTGCACCATCACCCCCAGTTTGAAAAGAAAAAAAAAAAAAATCTAAATTTAAACCATACAGCACCAAACTAAAAATGGCTTAGAGATGGGAACAGATGTACCTTGTGCTGGGCCCTTGTTAGATTTCACAGGCACAAATTATCCTCTTTCCTAAGCATACATAGTCAAATGATTCTTAGGTGATAAAAGAACCATCTCCAAGTTTGCCTGAGATAAAAGGATCTGCTTTTAAATGACCAGAGAAGAGGCAGAAGAGGACAGAAAGAGTAGGAAGTGCTGACTCACACAAGCTGCATGTGGGGTTCTGAGAATATCATCAAGCTCCAATGTTGCTGCATGCTGAGTTTCTCCTCCTGCTTTTCCTGAACCAACCAGTTAGAAAAGTAAGAGAACTAGGAGTCAGAAAGCCTGAGTGTCCATCCTTGTTCCATGAGACACTCCCTTTTCCAAGCTTCAGTCTTCTCTTCCCTGATCACCCTAGGGATTGGACGCTACACTAGATCAATGGTTTTCAAGCTTTCCTGTCTTTGGCACTTTCTTTAGATTTGACATAACAGTATTCAGTTCAGTTCAGTTCAGTCAGTCATGTCTGACTCTTTGCGACCCCATGAACCACAGCACGCCAGGCCTCACTGTCCATCCCCAACTCCCGGAGTCCACCCAAACCCATGTCCATTGAGTCAGTGATACCATCCAACCATCTCATCCTCTGTTGTCCCCTTCTTCTCCTGCCCTCAATCTTTCCCAGCATCAGGGTCTTTTCAAGTGAGTCAGCTCTTCACATCAAGTGGCCAAAGTATTGGAGTTTCAGCTTCACCATCAGTCCTTCCAATGAACACTAAGGACTGATTACCTTTAGGATGGACTGGTTGGATCTCCTTGCAGTCCAAGGGACTCTCAAGAGTCTTCTCCAACACCACGGTTCAAAACCATCAATTCTTCAGTGCTCAGCTTTCTTTACAGTCCAACTCTCACATCCATACATGACCACTGGAAAAACCAAAGCCTTGACTAGATGGACCTTTGTTGGCAAAGCAATATCTCTGCTTTTTAATATGCTATCTAGGTTGGTCATAGCTTTTCTTCCAAGGGGTAAGTGTCTTTTAATTTCATGGCTGCAGTCACCATCTGCAGTGATTTTAGAGCACAAAAAGAGTCAGCCCCAGTTTCCCCATCTATTTGCCATGAAGTGATGGGACCGGATACCATGATCTTCATTTTCTGAATGTTGAGCTTTAAGCCAACATTTTCACTCTCCTCTTTCCTTTTATCAAGAGGCTTTTCAGTTCCTCTTCACTTTCTGCCATAAGGGTGGTGTCATATGCATATCTGACGTTATTGATATTCCTCCCAGAAATCTTGATTTCAGCTTGTGCTTCTTCCAGCCCAGCGTTTCTCATGATGTACTCTGCATATAAGTTAAATAAGCAGGGTGACAACATACAGCCTTGACATACTCCTTTCCCAATTTGGAACCCGTCTGTTGTTCCATGTCCAGTTCTAACTGTTGCTTCCTGACCTGCATACAGGTTTCTCAAGAGGCAGGTCAGGTGGTCTGGTATTCCCATCTCTTTCAGAATTTTCCACAGTTTATTGTGACCCAGACAGTCAAAGGCTTTGGCATAGTCAATAAAGCAGAAATAGATGTTTTTCTGGAACTCTTTTGCTTTTTCAATGATCCAGCGGATGTTGGCAACTTGATCTCAGGTTCCTCTGCCTTTTCTAAACGCAGCTTGAACATCTGGAAGTTCATGGTTCACATATTGCTAAAGCCTGGCTTGGAGAATTTTGAGCATTACTTTCTAGCATGTGAGATGAGTGCAATTGTGTGGTAGTTTGAGCATTCTTTGGCATTGCCTTTCTTTGGGATTGGAATGAAAACCGACCTCTTTCAGTCCTGTGGCCACTGCTGAGCTTTCCAAATTTGCTGGCATATTGAGTGCAGCACTTTCACACTTAGTTCTTTTTAAATTTTTACTGAAGTGTAAAAGTGATAATACTAAAGACTGATCAAATTATGTGTTGAGCCCAGTAAATTTTTGCAAACTGAATATAACTAAAAAACCAGCAGCCAGATTTAGTAACAGAATACTACCAACAACTGAGTAGGGAAACACTGCAAAGACTGAAAAATAAGCACTATTTTGTTTCTTTTTAAAAGAAAACTTGGAAACATGTAAAAAACATTTCCGCAAATGAGTAATGCACCAATCATCTGGTCACCTTTTCATTTTATGTCACGTGTGAGTAGAATTATATATTGAATTATTATAATAATATAATAAATTATTTTAGGAATTACCTAATTCCTAAAACTACAGGAAAGTCTAGTACATAAGTGTTTAAAAAGTATGAGATGAACAAGTGAATGAACTGAACTTGTCCTTGAGAGACTAAAGACACAGCAAAATGAAATCATGGGTGCAACTACACTATAAATAGCCTGCATCCTGGGAAGGATGTTGGAAAAAAAAATGTACTCATCTACAGTATAAAGGTTTGAATCAAGTGTTCTAAAACTTATTGTAACTCAATAATTCAAATTATTTTGCAAATTTCAGAATCATATCTGAACTTATGAAGTGAGAGTTGACAATTTCAAGTCATAAAATCACAAAAGTAGTAAACAATTGGATGGCGGGCCAGACTCAGGAAAATGAAAAAGCCATTTAGTAATACATTTTCTCTGGAACAAAGCAACAAAAAAATATTGAGCATCCCAGAGAAATATGGGGAAAGAAGACACAAGCTTTTAATAAGCAAGAAACAGAATAAAATAAAAAACAGTAACTAGAAACCAACTGTACATACCTTTTACACTTTGTATAAGATGTTTAATATTGTCCTCACAAAAAAAAACATGATCTGGTTCAACTTCTAGCTAAAATAGAGTAGAATGTAGAAGAGCAATATTTCTGCTGAGGGC